TTTTAAGGCTCTGCTCCGAAGATGTCATTCTACTGAACGCATTAACCACATCTAAGGTTGCCAACAGGAGGGGCCGAGTTCAAAAATGACAGGAACAAGAGTTTCATTTGTTTCTGCACCAAATCATCCCTAGCACGACATCCTTCTCTACATCTGTATCTTTTCCCCATCAGACGCCACAAGGACAGGGATCTCTCGAGGCTCCAGCAGGAGCCAGCAAACTGCCCAGGCCAAGAGAGACGCGTTTGTTCCGCGCGGGGCTGGGTAACAGCCTCTTCAAGGAGGAATTTGCTGGCACCGCCGCTGCTGATTCAGCCACCTCTGTTTCAGTGTTTTGGAATCCCTGCACATGGGAGGGGTGACAGGAGCTGAAAGGTGAACAGGCACCCGGGGCGGCACGGAAAGTTTCCGTGCGGCAGAAGCCCCAGGCTGGCCCCAGGAAGGAGGCAGAACACGGGGAATGCCATCAGATTGGCAGCGGGTCCCGAGACTCCTCCTTCAGCCAGCTCGGAAAATATGCACAGAGAGGAAAGACTGGGTTTGCAGCCTGATGAAGTCAAGTTGGTCTTTCTCATATTTATTCATCCCACCAGTGCCACTTCCCTTATTACTGCAGAGCACATGGCAGCTCCCAGCTGAAGCAGAAGATCCTGGTTTCGGATCAATATTCTTCCAGCCCCTTTATGGCAGCCCTGCTACCTGCTGACACAGGGAAGCGGCATCTCTGCAGCATCTCACCAAATACCAGCTATGGAGAATGCTAAAACGCACTTCGTTTATTTGGGTTTAATTTATTCACAGGAATGACAGCCTCTTTCTCAATACAGCTAATTAACACACATACCACATGGCTTGCACCGACACTGGCTTGAAGATGTGCATTCTCCCTGCAGTGCTCACACTGAAGCCACTAATAGAGAAAAAAAGAAAAAACCCACTCAGAAACTGCTCCTCTCTGTATCACAAGCTGCACTCTACAAAGAGCTACTGCGAGGCAGCTCTAGGGGCACTCACAGTCAAAAAGAATCAGGGATGAGCATTTGTATCCCCCATTTTCCAACATCCTCCCAAATCAGAATGGGAAGCAGACACCCTTCCCAGCGTGGGCCACCAGGAATGGGAGCTCTGAGGACACTCACTGGGTATCACAGGTTCCACCCAGCAGCTGGAGGGCAGCAAGACAAAACCTCGCTGTCTGAATAAGAGGAGTGCAGCCATGAATCCAAAATTGAAACTTCATTTGCAAGGTGATGGAGAATCTCTCCTAGAGCAGCCCTCAAGTAGGGAAGGACATTCACATTTATCCTTTTAATGTGGTTTCTTACCCATCACCGTCGAGATGGATTTTAGTATCACTCCACAGACGAAGAACCATTCCTATAGTGCAGCTTTTACTGGAAGAGAGATTGTTATACGGGATGTTAAATATAGGCCACAATGCGGTCACGCCAATATCCTAAATTATTAATACTCTTTAATTTTTAAAATCCTCAAGTCTTGCTCTAGTAATTCCTAGTAATGTCTTGGGCTATCAAATGCATAACGCACAAGGAGACCGGCAGCTGAAGTCTAAAGGTCTGCTCTGACATTAACATGCCGACTGCTCTGCAGGGCTGGGGAAACGTCACAGAAGCAAGAATCCGAATCACCAGCTCTTCTCTCCCTCTCAAAGCCTGCCAGAGCGCCCCGCAGTCTTCGCCCCCGCATCTTCCTGCTCTCTCAACCCTCGTGAGCTCAGCGCGAGGCGGTTCCCCACGAGGACGCACGAGCAGATCACGCTGATGTGGCTGCAGAGGTGCAGCTCGCTAAAGCGGGGCTGAAAACAAGTCCTGGTAGGTGGCAGAGCAGCCGCCTGCCCCTTCCAAAGAGCACCCGAGGGGCCTTTCTGCGTGTTCGATTTTCACTTCATCACTCTGGCTGGTAGAAAAGACAAAAAGTGGCTTTTATGAGTTTACCTAACCCAAAAGAACACTTCCATTTCAGAGAGGCAATCTGGCAGGAAAACCCTACTATAATGGAAGCCAGTAATGTTCAACTAATAAATTATTAAACTACTGAGATATTAAAGTTTTAAAGGAAATTGGGATGCATACAGCAACAGCCAGTTAGCAAAGAACTCGGGTTTTGTTTTGTTCTTTTCCTCTCTTTTTTAAGCCTTCAGCTGCTTTCCACAGCAGATCAAAGGATCTGACAGGCCAGTTTGAACACACATGTGGACAATGTGCACTTTAGAGCTTTGCGAGAAAAAATGTTTTTTATTAAACACATGTAAAAGGAATAAAACCCACAAGAGCGCCCAACTAGTCAAACTGTCAGCAGTCAGAACACTTACAGCTCAGCAGTGACATTTCAGCCCCAACACAGAGCCATGGAGTCACTGACAGAGCTGCTAATGCCAACTGACTTCTTTATGCGTGAGACTTACCATGAGTTAACAAAAAACTTTTGACTTTCAGAGGAGACAGTAACTGAACTGGCAGCTCACCTTATGGTTAGAATGGATTTGTCGTAACTTTTCCATCTTTCCTCTCGTCTCACATCAATAATCACCAGGAGCAAATTGCTGCCAGGCTGTTTCAGATGTGAAGGTGACAGAGCCAGCATTCACTGCTGTTGCACACTAAGTGTGCCACGAGGAAACGCTCCCTCGGACTTTCCCCCGTTACACCCCCAGCAGTTCGTTTATCAGCGATACAAGAGGCAGCATCGAGGCCAGTGACAATCATCGTACTCGGAAGGCACGGCTACAAGCTTCCCTGCATGTCTCTCTGCAGCACAAAAAGCTCCCCCCTTCCACTTAGAGCACTGGAGACAACCACGAAGTTTTCCAAAAAAGAAAACAAAAAGTCACGCTGGCTGCGCCAGCACACCATGGCAGCCTGCTAAATCATCGGGGGACAGAAACAACAGTCTGGAAGCTCGGACTTCTAACTCCAGCCCTGCCAATCCAGCCCTGTCTCTCTGAGCCAAAAGCTTTTCTGCCTTGGTTTACTCACCTAGAACCGGAATAACGCGAGAGGGTCTGCGATAGCAAAATATTTTATTTGCCTTTCAAAATATTACGTGCTCTTATCAGTTAGATAAAAGAAACAGCTCATTACTGACACATTTGTTTGTTGGTTTTGGAGGTACTTTTGCAGTATTGTTTTTTGATGTTAGTTGGCAGCTAAGCTGCTCCCTCCCCCCAAAACCCAGCTCCATTGCATCATACCATCAACAGATTTGAAGTCTGGTGATAGAATAAGTTCCAGTTTTGCAAATGTGTCTGCAAGAGCGTTTTGTCGTGAGCGGACAGCAAGCTACCACAGGTGAGGTAGACGCCACAGCCCTACAGGTGAATTACACGTGGACGCTTTGCTCACAGCTGCCCAGAGATCCCAAGGAGACCAAAACCTTTCTGGAACAAAAATCACCCCCGTAACTGGTCAGAAAACTCACACATGTCCTTTCTCTTGCTAGAATTTGCAGATACATGTAAACCAAGTGCTTGGGGACAGTTTGGTGTTGACAGGCTTTCCAGAGAACCCAGCCTGCCCGATTTCTAAGCCCAGCCTTGCCTCAGACATACCTCTCCTTGCTGGAAAAATCCACGCCCAGCAGAATATTCTCCTCTGTGTCCTGTCGTCCACTGCTGTATACAACCACCATGTACCGGACTCGGTCTGTCCACACGCTTTCCAAACGGACAGCCTAGAAAAAGGTCATCAAGCTCTGCAAACTAGCTTTTGGACAGTTGTCTTCCATTGCTGCCTAGTATTTATTTTTTAAAGTAATTGTGCCCAAAAGCTTTATTTAGCTGCAGTATGAAAGACAGAGGGGGAGATGGCCCATCCTCCAGCAAGGCCAGCTGCCAGTTTGACTTGGCATCGGGTTGGGAGCAGGTCAGCAGAGATCACCTGCCCCAGCTTGGACCAAATACTACAAAATGTAACCTGAAGATTCTATCTAATCTGAAGATTTCTTTAAAAGAAAGCTCAGTCTCATTTGGATGCAACTTCAAGACCGACTTAAGGGCATCCATCAGCATCAGCAAGTTCCTGTCCCTTCTCCTGTATATTGTCAGCTGACTGGAAAATTAAATCTAACAAAACACACTTCAGAGAGATCAGTTGCCTGACCCAACTCATTACCTGGATGTAAGGACCAGGGCAAAAGGCGTGGACAGGAAAACGCAGGAGAGCTGGCAACCAGCACAGAGTTAAGCTGACTCCTAAACCTAGGATTTGCCAATCTTTTTCATGAACCTCTACAGGTCTGTTTCAAACACCTCCAACAGAAAGGAGAGGGGGGAAAAAAAAAAAAAAAAAAAAAAAGCATCTTTTCTTACTAGTTTGATCCTATCCTCACAGCGAAGGAGGTTGATCATCACCTGGAGGTGCTGGGGCAAATCACCTGCAGAGAAAGCAGAGAAATAATCAGAAAGGGTCTCACTTGCTGCGCTAAGAATGGGCAGAGCCTTGACCTTTCATGAAACTGGATGTGTCTAAGTCAAAAAATACCATTTCGGGGAGGCCAATTAACGCTGCTGTCCCAGAGAACGGTAACAGAAGTGAGCTGCTTGGGTGGCCACCGGCTGGCTGGGTGAGAACGCGACCTTACGGCATTTGGAAGGTACCAAATAAATTGAGACCACCTGTGACTGGCTCAAACGATGACACTGCCTGTTACAGCACCTCAGAGAAGACAAAGATATGGGCACTGAGGACAGGGGAGGAAGAGGCAGAAGGAACGACTGATTGGAAAAAAAAAAAAAAAGGAGAAAAGAAAAAAAACTTTGGCTTGTTTGGGTGATGGATCCCTTCTTATCTCAAAGTGCTGCCCCTGCAACAAGTCCCCTGGGCTCTAGAGCGGTGGGTACATTTCTGTCTGGTGAAAACAAGTGAAAGGAACAACCGATCTACAAGAAAACAAAAACAAGTTCACATCTAATAACTGGGTAATGCACTCATAACTTTCCATACAAGATAAAATTCCTTCCGTAGGATGTTTGTTGGGTATACGAAATTGCTGACAATTAAAGAAACCCAAAGCCGAGCTTGGCATTCAAACACCCTCTTTGTGCTTGGAGTGTTTACTAAGCAGCAGACACACAGTACCACACTGTGCCTTTCCCACGTGCTCCTGCTCTCAGAGTGCCCCGATGATCTTATTTCTTCTTTCCCAGTAATCACTTACTCCCAAACTGTCAAAGACAGAAGGCATAAAGACATGGGGTAAGGAGAATCCACCTTCCTGAACCCCCTTGGCTGCTTATCGATCCTCACATACGCTCACCATACAACTCCCTGCTGCTTCTTCCCACCAGTTTGGCACACTGGAAGGGACTGGGGGAAGAAGGACAGTCTGTTCTTTAACCGTGTTGAACTCTCACAGGCCAAATCGTGATGAGTTAACTGAAAAGGGGATTTTCCTGAAACCAGGCAAGGAGATATAAGGGGCTAAGAAATGTACATCTATCCAGAGACCCAAATGCTTTTAAAACGTTCCTCACTCTTACCAGCAGCATCAAACCAACCCAGCAACAGGTATTTCAAAAGAACAAATGCTCTCAGCTGGCACCAGAAGTCCCAAGCTTCAGACTACTGGAGGCTGGGAGAGCACTTGGAGAAACGTCCCTGCCGTGCTGCATCGGGACCTCGATCGCTACAGGAGGTGCTAGAGCCCTGTGACTCAGCCCACCCCGTTTTCCTCCCCACAGGCCAAAGGGCAAAGATCAAATCACTGAAGCACAAGGGACATTCCTTCATCTGCGGGAAACAGGGCGACACGTTCAGCAGAGCCCTCCTGGCTCAGCAGGCTTCCCTGCCGAAAGAGCGCCAGGGTGTCTGCAGAGAAATTTCTGCTCCAGTTACAGTTCTGAGATAACGACAAAAATTTAAACAAAGACTCAATAATCCTACGTTCCCATTCGAAGCAGGTGGGCTGCTAAACCTGGTTTTACCCAGCAGGTTGTCCAAGGCCCACTATGACAATCAGAGGAGTCATCCACCCACCCACGGGTGCTATTAACCTGCACGGACGGGATGAGCAGCAAAGCAAGAGGGAAAAAGAATTTCAGTAGGTGATTTCATCTACTACCTGCATGTTTGTGAGGATGCTGGAGACTTCGCTGGCCCTGGGAGCTGTTTCCTTGTTGTAAGAAAAGGGCTGCACCTTTCACCATGAAAAAGCTCTCGCTTAGGCTGGAAAACAAATGACAGAGGAAGTCAACTGGAAAGAAATATCAGCAAAAGGCGTGCTCAGGTGTGTACGCCTAGGAAAGGAAGGGCTTCCCCTCACTAAAACGTAGCAGGACTTTGCCATGAGAAGCTGTTCCCAGGGTCTGGTCCTGCCACTTGCACAGCACGGCTGCAGGATTATTCATGGATTATTCATGTGTCATTTCCCACCAACGCTTTATTACTTGACCACTGCAGGAGATACTTGCCTGAGCTGTCATGGGCTGAAAAGGACTATCGTTTGATTATCAAATTCTGCAATTAAAAAAAACGTAGAGGGTAAGACTTTTTACAGGCTTAGACCTGTAAAATGACTGAAGATGAGAATCTGAGTCAATCAGTTCCTACCGATTTCAGTTCTTGAGATTTCTTTGGAATGCAAAAACGAGAACACGCAACCATGAACGCTCTGTAGATTTAAAGAGGAAGGGAGGGCAGATGAAACCTGCACATCACAAGAGAAAGGAAACTGCACTGAAACCTCAGGGGAAAAAAAAAAACAAACCAAAAACCAACCGACACAATAGCATAGATTTTGCTTTGCTCTGGCTAGATACAGCCATCCTGGAAAACACCACTGATAAGGCAGCAGGTCGCAGTATGTGCAGATACGTAACGGTATTTCCACAGAGTCGAAGGACACGGAGGCCCCAGAACGTAACCAGGGAGAAGGCTGAACAAAATCAGTAGTTACAGCAAGCACCAGCACGAGGCTAATTACACGGTACCGTAAGGCACTCGCGGGCGTTTTAGAAACAGACTTGGACATAAGCAGTAAAGTTCACATTTCCCACGAGGCTGAAAATCAACATCTACTAAGCTACCTTTTAGTTGGCCGCAGTAACTGCTTACACTGCATTTCCTACACCGCGCAAAACATCACAAGAGACATTCCTTGTTACAAAGCCCAATTTTCTGCCGCCCTACACTTCCAAACATAGATCATCATTAATTACTGTCTGCTCTCTACTAAATATAAATGCTCCATTACGAGATTGTGCTACACGGGAGTTACTTATGCTACAGAAAATGATCCCACAGGAGTTACTACTCCCAGCACTCATCTGTTCTGTACTTTATCTGGGGTCTTTGAGCAGAAGCGAGCACTAATGCTCCGTTCTACCGTAGTGTTTTTGTCAAGACAGACATAAATTTCGTGTCAGCTTTTGCTGCAAGTTCAGCTTTTCCCTTCTCTGAGAACACAGCCAAAGTTCCCAGGCAAAGCTTTCTCATTTTTCAACTGAATCTTCAAGGTGCAAAATTCTCGGAGAGACCTGGATCAGGTTTAAATTGGAGATCTCAGCCGCCTTTAAGTGAACTAAAGTTTTCACCAAAGTTCCAGGCTCCACAAGTCATAGATCAATAAAATGCCATCAGGACAACTGCACTCTAATTAAAACAAGCTTTTCTCCATTGACACTCCCGCAGCATTCCAGCACTCACCACCACTCGCTTCTAGCAAGTTGTGTCAGAGCAGGAGCCGCGCAGAGTTCCCAGAGTTGTGACCCGAAGCGCCGGCTCCGCTCCGCCTGGCACACGCGCTAACGGCGACAACTGCCGCAAACGGGAATTCGCTTCATCCCGTAAGCAAGCCAGGAAGAGTCTTGTTTCCTTCACACACCAGATCTCACAGGAAAGCAGTAAAAAAGGCCAGGAGCTACCCAAAAGCAGTGACGCCGACACAATGTATAGGACATTCGGCTACATACCGGCTTTACGCGCACTCGTCTGCTTTTTCGGCAAGAGGAAGGGAACGGTTTGGTAACACACGAGGAGATAATTCACAGTACTCCTGGGCCCAAGAATTTTGAGAAATATTTCTTTGGGAAAGTCAAAAAATATCCCAAAGGATATTCTTTTACCCCTAATAAAGTACTGACTGGGATTTCTACAGCAGGGAGAACCTTGGAAGAGCCAGAGCTTCTTCCCAAAGGCATCGGCAACTCCTGCTCTGATCGTCCATCTTGCCCGATGTTCTCCTCTCTTGCAGTCAGGAAATCTTTTACAATAAAGCAGAATATTCCCAGTTGCAGGCAAGTAAGAAATCTGCGCTGCAGGAGCAGAGAGAGATTGAAGGAAAAGGACAACCCACATCGCAACATTTTTGTCACCGTGGATCCATCTGCATGGAAATGAACCGGAAAGCAAAGCCAAAGAACCTGTTGAAAGCACGATTTCGTTTTTAATTTTAATGTTTATTCCCTAAACTGCATCCTAACCTTACAAAGCCCAGCGTGCCGTGACTCAGACTGTACCCCCCCCCAGCACTACCCGTGCTCCCCCATTTCCACACAGGCTCCCGTTTCCGTACGGCCAGCACGGTGCCATACAGAGGTAACGCAGCCAAGCGCCTCCGAGAAAGCTCCTGTTTTACACCACACTGAAACAGCAACATTACCCAAGACCGTCCCTTATCTCCGCTCTAGGAACTCTCTTTGCTCTCAGCCGCTTCATAAAACTGCTCTAAAAGACAGCTACCGAAATACAAGTGAGAAAAAGGCAAGGCACAATATCCCAACCCAGTTTTAAAAACCCCTTTTAAATCTTTGCAGTTCCAGTAAACAACTAAAACTCCAGCCTTAGTTAAAAAAAAAAAAATCTCCTACAGAACAGAAAAATCCTATCATTAAAGAACATCCCCCAACTTTTGACCCTCGTCACCAGTGATAAATGCCCTGGTAAGCAGCATTTGTTAGCAGCATAAAAACGAGTGGCTTATACATACTAATTTGGACTGGTTTTCTTTGAACAGCAGAAGCATTGTGCCGGCCCAAGCGTCAGACAGAAGTCAGTAAATTCGAAAAGATTCATAACTAGCTGTAAAACTCACATCCTTTTGCTTCTAAACCCATTTAAAAACAAAAAAAAAAAAAAAAAAAAAAAAAAAAAAAGAAAAGGTCGACCGTATATTCTGTGCGGAGCAGAGAAATCGCGTCTGTTGATGCTACCCAGGAACTGGATGACTTTTACAGAACACTCTGTCTTCCACTGATATCCTGGCTTGAAAAAGCACTTGTCCTAACATATCCTGATGAAAGAGGGCCATTCAGGAGGGGAAAAAACCAGCTGAGGCTCGTCTAATCATCTCCCTCCTCCAGACTTGTTTGTTTGTTTGCTTCCTCCCGCATGCTCTGAAGGCAAGGCAGCGCCTATCAGCAGCTCGTCGCTGGGCGCAGTCCATATTCCCTGGGACAGGACTAGATGAAAAGCATCGTATCAACTAATGCCTGTTTGTTCCTTTGTGATTAAAACCCCGCGTGTCACCGCTGTAACACAGATATGACAAAGGCATTAGCTGTCAAATTAAAATGCTTCTTCACTTACTGTACAGCCACCGCGGTTTGATTTTCAGCGTGAGTCACGAGTTACTGAGCTACTACTGAACAAGACGGTCCTTCAGGTGGTTTGGTATTTATTTGTTAGTGCCTGGCTATAATCAAATCTTGTTGCCCCCTAATTCTTTCTCTAGGCTTAAACCAGAACGCCACGCTCTCGTTTCACCAGTACTAACCAGGGGGAGAAGCAGCTTTCTGTTCAATTTTCACCCGGCCCCACTGGCACGCACAACAGAAACCACCCGTTCCCTGGATGCCAGGAATCCTGCCCAGCGCAGCTACTTCACTTCAGGCTCTCAAATAAACGCAGAGCCCACGAGTTTTGTCACAGCCCCAGGACCCTGGTGCTCCAGTACAGCTGCAGCCCCGTCCTCCTTCCACTCCATGACCTCTGCTTACCAAACTGATGGCATTAACCCCCTAAGGGAGGTGAAACCTCTGCTTACAAGCATCTGGGAAATGCCAAGAGCGGCAGCGGGAGGGTGCAGACAGCTACGGTGCTTTGCTGTCCCTAAAGCTGGGGCCCAGAGGGGTGGCACCCAGGGGCAGGAGAGGAGCGTCTCTTGCTTCACCGTCCCTTGCTCCATCCGTTGGCTCCACGCCGCTCAACTTGAAAAGGAAATATTTCTTCCCCTTTGGGAAAGCTCCAGAAGAGCATGGCTGCAACACACATCAATTACATTTCGGGTTGCTTAAGAACACAATAGGCATTGCCTTTTAATCGTTACAAAATGCTGTCCCCCGGGGTCCACAAATGCCAACGGGCAATCTGTTGAAAACACTGGGGTTTGGGACAAGAGACAGAGCTGCTCGCGTTACTGGACGGACAGAGGGAGCTGGAAGCCAGCTGCCCGTCACAGAACAGTTTGCCCTAAGCAGTTTGCTTTGCCATTGTGGCTCAGGCTATGGTGTGTCCCATGAAGAAACCCCGGTTATCTGAATTCCCTGTTTTAATAGGAAATCTCACATAAGACGTAATCATCTTGCAGGACACAAGAAAACCATTAATATATCTTATGACTACATAACTCATCTCAAAATAAATAGCCATACACAGAAGTTAGCAGAGAGAAAACCACTTTTGCTGGGAAGACACAGCCAAGCCTGAGGTGGATTCAGCAGTCTCTCGCTAGTCTAAGAATTAAAAAATAGTACCTGGCTGAAGGAGGCAGAACACAGAAACATCGGAGTCTGTGTCTGTGCGGGTACCCCTGCTGCTCCCAGAACTGCGGGATGCCCAAGGCGCCTGGCTTCCCACCACACCCGCAACCACCCTGGGGACTTCTGGAGCCGTGAGTGAACTCCTTACCTCTGCTCTGACACTGATCCCAACCGCCAGGCCCGTTTCGTGCGAGCGCCGCTCGGATCTGCTTTTAGCGGGGAACAGGAGCAGACTGCCACCCTGCCCGGCTTCGCCCCACATTCTCCTCGGGGATGCGAGAGCCAGAGGCAGGGCTGAGGGCAGGGAGCTCAGGGGGCAGAGGGGAGCTGCTCCTCACACAGGCTGTCCCCACCGTCACCCCAGCACCGAGGCACGTACACCTGACGGCTCTCAAAGCTTGCCTTAGCTAACGTTTGGGGTTGGCCTCTACGCTGAAGTTATCCCTCCCCTCTCCCAAAGATACAATATTCCAAATGTCCTTTCAAGATATCTACCCCCACCTGAAGCTGTCTCTGTTTCTATTTAACCTTTCACCTCGAGCAGCTCTCTCACTGCTGCTTGCCGGGTGCTTGTGCAGCTCGAGCGCCGAGCTCCACGTGCCAGAAAAGCCTGGGCACAGGGCTCCCATCACGCTCTCCGGGCACTAAATCTCTGTCAAATTAAATTTCTTAATTTCCCCCTCACTAATGGAACAAAACGAACGCGTGGCGCGGGGGCAGAGAAGGTCACCTATCCATCAGGGTTGAGCTGGAGTGCTCGGGGGCCAGCGATGGCCTCCGGGCTCATCTGACAGCCCAGACGTGCTGGAGCAGGAGCACCCCCTCACCCCGGCATCCATCAACGCCACGGTCAGGAGCCGGCACGCTCGTCCTGCCCTTCCTACCCACCACATGCAGACCAGCAGCCAGGTCTGGGTTTTAGGAAAAAAAAAAAAAAAAAAAAGCAGTATTTGCTTCTTTCAAAATTGGTCACAATTTTAAAAAGGCACAAACACGGTAGTGCCTCCCGGTTTCTTGGGTTTTACGGCACCTTCTGCTCAAAATGTTTCCAAACTGATAAGGTGAGGAAAAAACAGGCCTCCCAAGCGCCACAAAATTAAACACGCTTCCCTTTTCCACAGGCCCCTTGATAAGGAGGAAAAGAACTGATTATTATTTT